GGGGGGAGGGCAGTTCATAATTTTACGCTTTAAATCAAGTGGAGGGCCACAAATTATGCTTGCACCCCAAAACTAAACCAAATAAATAGCAAGGCGCAACATTTTACCTGCTGAAGCTTTTACGGGCCGTACGTATCACCCGCGGGTACAGGAAGATTGAATTCGAGTTTTCTGGATCGCACGTGATCAGGGGACATACCCATAAAATTTTCAGCTTCCTGAACTTCCACGGTTACCGAGATAATGATTTTATCTACCAAACTTTTGCGGGGCAGTACGGCTTACCTGCGGGTACAAGAAGGCTGAATTTAAAATTTGCCGCGTCACACGTTGGCGGGGAACACTATGCTAAAATTTCAGCCACCTAGCTCTTGTGGTTCCCGAGTTGAAAGTGCGGGACAAAATGTGGGGCACACACATACACACACGCATACATACAGACAGACAATCCCATGACAATATGTGTTTTGTATTACTGTTACACAGCACATAGCGCATAAAAAGAGAAATCCGGTATATGTTTACGACTGTGATTCTCGCGACTCTCAGTCGAGCGCAAAACCGTGGGCATTTTACACTTCGAAAGTCCCCACTACGTTCTGTATTGAAATTAGCACAGACGAAGGGATAATGCTGATTTGGCTAAAAGATCTGGACTTGCATTTCCTTCTTCCATTTTCCATTTCCTTCATTCACTGATTTTTTTTTTGTATTTTGGTTCGTAAAATTAAAGTAACATCCAGCGATTAACGTTGAGTCTTCTCGCCTTGTCGCTTAATTTTTTTTTTGGAAAATTAGGAAACGAGTGAAGCTTCCTGTATAAGGCGAGGAAGACGGCTGAGGCATCGAGTTCGTAGGTTAATAAGCAAGAAAGCATCGTCAGCAGAACGAGTCACTGCAGGATTCATCAAGTCCTGAGCATTTTCGATCGCGAAAGCGAAACAGCATCTGCCACCCCCTGTCCGCTACCATTGAACCTCAGTCTTTGTACTGCATTTTGTGTTCATAATTTTGATTGGAGTCTGGGACTTGTGTGGATAAATAGTTTTATTTTTAACCGGGCCAGCACAGGGAGAGAAGGATAAAACAAGCAGTTTTCAGGATATGGACAGAGTGAAGGCGGAAATGGCTTTGTTACTGAAACGCCCAAGCAAACTGGACTACGACATCGATTCATTTGCCACTGATTTGCAACGTTTTGCACGTGAACAGCGCGACAGATACGTACTTCTATATGGTTGGTGCTTCGCTGCTCACTGAACGGCACTGGATGTTTTTTCCTTGGGGATTAACTCACTATAAAATAACGGAAAAGATCTTTCCGCATAGCGCTGCTACAGTGAGCGAAAACAGCAACCAGGAAAGCCCGGAGGCTAAAATTTTGGGATCATGTTCACACCCCACCTGTCATCCTCCCACTTTAAAATCCGTTCATACGCACTTAGACCTCGCGTACAGGCTCCCGAAAAAAATACGCGAATATCTTGGCGGGAAGGGATTCTGCGAACCAGGCAAGATAGAAAGCTAAAACTTTGCAGGGATATTCTCTATGCGTGTGCCAGCTGAAGATTTCAATTCAGCTATCGCGCACGCATATGCCGTGCGTACGGTCAAGTGAAAATTCGCAGTTGGCACTGTGCTGACTCGAAAACTAGCCGAAAAGCAGTTGCTGACTTTGTTAGAGTATTTATCATGCATATGAGAAATGCTATACCTAACCTGAGTTTCGATTTGTACTTGCGCCACGACTGGGGACGCTTCAAAGGTATTTGTAGCGAAGTGGCTATTTCGCTTATCGGGCAAGCTGTGAAACCCAAACTTTGCAAATTTATTCTGTGTTCACATATAGTCTTAATTCAGCTGGGGGAAGGGGGTGAAATTCCGTGCACGCAGACATGACATATACTCATTTTTATGACAAATCCAAAAGCGAGTGCACTTTGCAGATTTTTTAGTCCTCTTCCGACTTCCATCAAATTTGCATTTTTCCAGTGACACCGGAAAACGATTGGGCTTCATGTAAAAAAACTGATAATCATACAAGCTGATATCCGTGCAGCCCTATAATGCATCACCTTCATCCCAGCGGACGCTTTTTCCTCTGCATGCGGGGGGTAGGGGAGGGGGGGGGGGGGGGGCAAAGACACAGCCGGTATGAGTCTAAGT